CTATTACCCGAAAGTGTAAATATTAAAAAAGTCGATATTCGGGTAGAAGATAAATTGTAAACTTGCCGCAAACAGCACAGACATCGTAAACTTTTTATTTTGTATCTCATATATAAGTTGCGGCTGGTTTATAAGTAATTAAATGGCTCTAAGGCTAAGCTGCCTAAAGCTCTCCTTCAGAATTTCAGAAGCAATTTTTGGCCAAAAAAATCACGACCGCTAGATGGCGCTGATGCAAATGATTATTACTACTTATATAGTAGAGCCATTTAATTAATAATAAACCAGCCGCAACTTCGTGTATAGATATGAAATAAAAAGTTTACATCGTTTGTGCTGCTTGCGGCAAGTTTGCAATGTATCTTATACACGAATATCGACTTTCTATATATTTATACTTTAAGGTAATAGATACATTGTAAACTGGCCGCTAACAGCACAGACAACGTTCACTATTTATTTTGTATTTTATTGATAAGTTGCGGCTGGTTTATAACTAATTAAATGGCTCTAGGGCTTAACTGCCTAAAGCTCTTCTTCAGAATTTTAGAAGCAATTTTTGGCCAAAAAAATTACGACCGCTAGATGGCGCTGATCCATATAATTATTGCTCTACTACTACTACTGATTGTAGAGCCATTTAATCAATTATAAACCAGCCGCAACTAATTTTATAGATACGAAATATAAATTTTAAAATTTTGTGCTGTGAGCGGGTTTATTTTTTACAAAAAAATCGACCTCAAAAAGTATTAATACTCTAGTTATTTTATATGGCTTATAAAATCGACCATGTGTAAATTACAATACCTTAGACCTTTTACCACTAACTCATTGAAGTACAGCCCTTTAACTTAATAGTTCCAATAAACAGTTAACTTACGGTGCTTTCAGTGCAATCTATTTGAATGAGAAGGCGAATGATCCTTCATCTCTCTCGCAGCCGTGCATTCAAATAGATTGGAGAAAGTAAGTATTGGCGTTGCGTCTGAACGCACCCTTAGTGATTATACACATTATACTTACTAGTGACCCAACTCGTTGCACAATTTTTTGATGTGTTGCAAAATGTGCGTAACCAAGAATTGTAATTTTAATGGAAATGATACATGAATAAAACAAAATTCAATTTTCTACAAGCACATCTGAGATATAACTTGACTTAAGTACTACCTTGAAAAAATGAAATGCGAAAGCGAAAAGATATGTTACAACTTAACATAATGGTTTTTTTATAACATAATATGTTTCAACTGATTGCGATAATGAATATTTTATCAAACAATATCCAATTTTTCGTGCTGTATAAGTAAAAAGTTCAATAATTGTTGGCAAAAGGTTTGTCATTTTTGTCGCACGCGCAAACATCTAATAAACAAATCGGTTATCTGGTACATAGTACATTTAACTGTGTATTGTAGTGTAGGTGAATATTAGTTTATACAGTGCATATTTCGGACGTTGCTAGCAGATAACATGGTTTTTTAAGGGCGAAATCATCTTAAGTAAATTCTTCGATCATCAATTCTGGTACTCATTAAGTCACTGAAATGGTGTTAATTTAAATAATTGTTAGATTATTACAGTGTCAACAATAAAATAAGTAGACTAGGCAAGGGGGTGTCATGCGCGCGCTTCGTGCTGCTGCTGTGTCGTTTGTCGTTTCGGGGGGGAGACGATTATTGTTTTTTCACGACCCTGATAATTTTGTGCTAGAAAGGGACGTTTTCTCGCCGACTTGCAGTTTTTATTGCAAAGATTTCAAATTTTCAGTGTTCTTCATAGTAAATAAAACGAAATATGGGCGCGGTTCATGCGAAGGTATAACTTATTGGTGATTTGGTGATGTTGTATAACCTCCCAAGGCGATATGGATATTATTTATATTCTTGGAATCTATCTCTTTTCCTCTCCCTTTTCGATCTGTCGGCCTACTTATGCATTTAGCACGTGAACCTAATGTAATGATTGATAAAAAAATTAATTATAGGTACTTAGTGTGCATTGCTTGAACAGAGTTTTTCGAGATTAAATATATTGTTGTGCTTCATATTGATATTGGTTTCGTGATTTATACATGGATTTGTGACCAAAATGAGTTCTAATCTCTTTGCCTTCTCCCTTGTTCGACTTTTTTTAGTGGCGCTGTTTTTTTTATTGTTTAATTAAAAATTGTATGTTGCATTAGTTATGCGGTTTCTTGGCAAGAGAGAGTAGTTCGGATGAGCTGTTAGTTAACTTCTGTTGTCAAAAGTCGTGCTCATGATATACAATTTTTTTGTTTGTTGGCCTAATGACAAGTAAAATTTGTTTAGTTTAGTCAAGTTATTATTACATTAACGATTTTTAGTATTTTTCATTTTTGGCAAAGTTTAAGTTTCCAGAGGTCAAAGATCATTGACAGTATTCACCTTAATCCCTCATTTTAATGTTGAAGATTTATTTTTTTTGTAATATCTTGAATATTTTGTGTTCAGAAAAATTCATAACAAATAACGAATTAATTATTTTTTAGTTTTGGTAGATGTTTTGCCAAAATGTATCAGCTTTTATAACTGTAACTGCAATTACATAATACTACCCATTGCCCATAGTATATGTGATGTATCAACAAACAATTTTTTTAATTCAAGGCAGCAAGGTGTTTAAAAATGTGATTTCTGGCATTATTTAAAAGTAAACAAAAAAAATTATTTGTGTTTTATACAGGGGGTTCCCTTAAACAATTTAAAATTAAGTTTTTTGTTCGTAATTCAAAAAAATAATTTGAAATTTTTTAATACTTAGGAGCCTGATACGATAAAAAATTTCGAAGTGACACAGCCAAATCACACAATGAGTAACGAATCAGAAATTCCTAAGGACGATGATGTAAGAGTTGATAGTTTAGAACTTTAATGTACTAAAATTATTAATAAAAACTACAATACATTGTTTCGATTTTTTTATGTGTAGACTTCATTTGGTAAGCAGGCATTCTCAGAAAATCAACAAACAAACAAAGTGAAACCAGTCGATCTGAAAAATATAAAAGTAAATATGCCACATGGTTTTTGTTGCGATAATAAATATAAGTTATAAAGTTGATATTCTTTTTTAGGCTAGAGTTGATAAGGTTCACATAGATGGACTCAATAGGACTAAAGATGATGTTGTGCAGGCGCAAGTCAAGGAACTATTCAATGCTAAAGATTTTCAAGACATTATTGTTAATGCACATGCAGTACGAGGAAAATTGGAGTCATTAGGATGTTTTAAAACTATTGGAGTTTATATAGACACTAGTCAAGGCCTTGATTCTACACCAGAAGGAGTAGAAGAGTAATAATCATTTGGATCAGCGCCATCTAGCGGTCGTGATTTTTTTGGCCAAAAATTGCTTCTGAAATTCTGAAGGAGAGCTTTAGGCAGCTTAGCCTTAGAGCCATTTAATTACTTATAAACCAGCCGCAACTTATCAAAGAGATACAAAATGAATAGTTAACGATGTTTGTACTGTTTGCGGCAAGTTTGCAATTTATCTTCCACCCAAATATCGACTTTTTTAATATTTACACTTTCGGGTAATAGATATATTGTAAACTTGCCGCAAATAACACAAACAATGTTAACTTTTGATTTTGTATCTCTCAAATAAGTTGCGGCTGGTTTATCAGTAATTAAATGGCTCAAGGGCTAAGCTGCCTAAAGCTCTCCTTCAGAATTTCAGAAGCAATTTTTGGCCAAAAAAATCACGACCGCTAGATGGCGCTGATCCAAATAATTATTACTTCTTATATTAGATTCATTAAATCAATTATAAACCAGCCGCAACTAATTTTATAGATAGGAGATAAAAAGTGGACATCTTCTGTGCTGTTTGCGGCAAGTTTAC